ATTTTAATACTTATGCTCCTATGACTCCTTTATGAATCATACGATATGTAGTATATAGAAATAAAAAATGAAAAGAGCCGAAAAACTTTGATGTCATGACGAACATTTGGTAAGAATTGTTCACAACTATGACATTAGAGCAGTAGTATCCAGAATTATTTTTCGTTATGTAGCAATTCATTTAAAAAAAACTATTGTTGACATAGTGAACACAAGGAGAAGTTCATTCTGTGGACAACTATGAATAGAAAATATCATGGAAAGAAAAAAAAATGTATATATAATGTGTTTCTAACTTTATATATTGTGAATGATTAATTATATTTTATTTATTGATTTAAATTATATCACAAATAAATACAAGAGAATATAAAATTTTGTTTTCACAACACACACATCCATCAATTTAGTGTAATATTAATGTACACATATCAGTTTAACTCACTAATGTTTAGCTAGTTGTTGAGCTCACTTAGTGGCAGGTATTCCAACACTATGGGCTGCCTTATCTCCGCATATAGCTGTTGCATGCCGACCAAGAATTTTTCGAAAAAAGAACTCCATTCTATGAAAAAAAACTGAACGAAACAATTGACTTGATAATGTATATATATAAAAGGATTTAGCATAATTAGCATAGTAAATTAATGTAGTGAATGACATTAAGAATGCACCGATCATTTTTTTATTACCAGTTAGTGGTGGCGCCAGAACATAGTATGCATAATAAATCATACGTGTTAAAACCAATAGCTCACTAAATCCAACTTGAAAAAGCATCATCTATAAATCAAATTTTACAGTCATATGTGATTAATATTGAGCAGAGTGAAAAACTAGAAGCTTATAATATAAATCATGTTTTATTCACATTTTCTTTTTCAAAGTAGCCAGTTAAAACTCTTCAAACTTTTTAAGAAAAACTGCTACAAAATTAGTTCCATTGTTTTTTCTTTTCATTTTCATTGTCAATTTTGCTGTGACTTTTCATGAACAAAAAACAAAAGATGTTCTTATGTCAAAGTTTCTTTTTCACTTTGATCTACTACTCACCACAATCAGTTGTGCATCAGTTTTTTGTTGACGTCGTTGTTGTTGAGTTGAAGCAACTACACTTTGTAAGGGTTTAGCTGCTACTCGTGTTTTTGTTCGTCGAATATTCATAACAGTAAGAAAACCAAAGATTAACATCAATATATGAGGAATAATACCAAGCCAAAACACTACAAACATACCATCAAACCTCGAAACAGGACCAGCAACGACACCGCATCGTGGTCGAAGATCATATGCAACTAGAATATGAATACATGATAGAAAACTTATTGCAATAGCTACTATAGTTGCACGATAAGCTATTTTCATTTGACTAAATGAACGAAGACGAACACTAACTGATGATGACAAAAATCGATCAATTGATGATAGTAAGACCAAATAAGTAGCTGTTAATGGAAGTGCTGAAATTAAATAAGCACGAGATTTACAATAGACTCGATTTGTATTGATTAATGAGCTGCCAAGATGATCAGCAGCAAGTCGAGAAATAAGACCAAAAGTAATGGATAATAATTCAAATACAGCTGACATAAGAAAATAAAAAGCACATGAATTTTTACGTAATTGTGGTGCTGTAAATGTGATAAAATTGCATAGACAACCAGTTATACCAAACAGTAAAAGAATAATTGGTCCATAATAGGTCATTTCAGAAGTGACGACTTGTATTAGAGCTCGAGTCGTTGTAGTAATGGATGAAGTTATATTTGCCGTGGACATGTCTTTTAATAGTTGCTCTGTTTAAAATATAATATAACAGTGTGTATGTGAGTATCACTTTGTTGATAATGTTACTGTTTATATAAATGTTATTTAATGTTAATATTTACTTACGGATTCTATTAGAATAGTAGAGTTTTTTGTGTATGGTAGTGACTAGTCGTAATATGAATTGCGAAGAATTTCACATTTATTCTACAAAAAGTACATAGAAAATGATACATAGCAGAGACGATACTATTCTTATGAATGGTAAAGCTGTCTTTTTTTGTTACAGAAAATGTAATCTTTCGAATAAAAAATCTATATCAAAATAGCTAAAATTTCTGTTTATATGTATGCGGATAAGTAGTAAAAAAACGGATGTCGATACAATAGATGTTTTTCAATAACAAATAAATGATATTCTGTACTTCTTCTATAATTGGTGGCATTTTATGTGATGTACTTACATTATTTTGTTTATGTAGAAACTATGTCTGTTTTTTCTAGCGTTATTAAGAATCTTTTTTTTCTCATTTTAAAGTAGCTCTACTAAATGCACACAAGCATACTAAAAAATTACATTTTCATCATCTTATCACATTTTTTTGTATAGTGAATATTATTCTAAAACTATTACCAAATCTATGCATGTAACAAGCATCTGTTACTATTCTCATATACAAGTCGTGCGCGGGTGTTTTTTTTTTGATCACAATACGTCAGTTTCTCAGTGTTAGCCATCACTACTTATTATCATTCTTAGTGATATCACTTAAATTTATATGTAGGGTAAATTTCTGAGTTGCTCTGATTATAGAATTTAGTTTTCGATGATGTTTCCTAATGTATTGTCGTTGTATATACGATATTTTCATCAATTGTAAAACTATGTCAAAAAATATACTTAGAGAGCATTCATGAAACTGTAACCTATGATAGTTCTTTTGTATTTGTCTATGCACTTCACAATACCTATCTAGAAATAAAATGCTCGGTAATGATGCCTTTGCTACAGTATGATAAAAGTTGTCTAAATGAGAGTACTATCAATACTCGTAATTCAAACAGCTTCGCCCAAGACGCAAAAATTTTTCTTTTCTTTTCAAGTAATTTTCAAAGAAAGTTATATCTTTTTTATATTATTGAGTAAAGAAATATCTACTAAACCACATGATGCAAAAATCATTTGATGATCTTGATATTCTTGTCTTAATTAAAAGTACAAAAATTTGTGCTGTACCTACAGAATGAATCATAAATAACACTATGGTTACACAATGAAGTGAATTATACTATATTGATGCACATAGAACAAACTTTCAGAACTAGTTAGTTAAGAGTCAACAGCTTCAAAAGTTTGAATTTTTTAAACATGGAATACTAGTTTTTGCAAGAAATTTGCATTCACAGTGATGCAATGGTGCGTTTTACTTACGAAGCATAAATTCCAACATTTAAACTAACTAGTAGTTTTGAAAACTTGCTCTTTGGGCATCAATATACTTTGTTTTGACTTCTTATTCTCTTAGACGACAATTGAAAACTATCTATGAAACGCCCTTATAGCGAACAATCGTATGTTCGACACAATATTGATAGCCAATTTATATTGATTAATTTAAATATATATCGAAGACAAAATTGAATTTTAGTAAAAAATAACTTTATGCAAATTTCATTGTTAATCAGGCGAATAAATACATAATTATCTTTTATTTAAAAATAAATTCTAATTTTCATTTTTTTTAAGTAGTACATTGCATATACTTGTTATTTTCAAGTAGATAGAACATCCGTTTTCAACAATGCACATTCTAATGTATGCACCAATAATTTTTGTGTCGACATCAGAAAATGATGTTTAAAAGTATTGTTATGAACATGCTAATCAACATATTCATTTTCTTGAGCATTAAAATTCCAAAGGAAGACATTTATTGTTCTACAGCAGGGAATAGCTAAGCATACCTATAAACCTAGTACAATTAGAAGACAACTAAGTATCGATAAAAAAGACTAATCAAATGAACGTAGCCATATGGATTCTTTTTGTTTTCTTTTTTTCGTCGAAGCTTTTTCATACAAACTAGATTTCGATTGAATATACTTGCGAACTCAATAATTTCTTAGACTCCACTAAATTTCAACTACAGTTCGGCGTAACTTTACATAAATATACAAGATCAGATCTTTATTTTTATCTTGTTCGATGTTTTACAAGAAACGGAATAATTTCATCAAGATATTATTTCGAATAAAGAAGAAAAACACTCAAGTCCTAAGTGTCAATAAGCAACAACTTGAGATAAAAATCAACTAATAATATCATCTAGATTACAAAACTGAATAGTCTTATAAAATTTCGAAAAGATATAATGAAAACATATTCATAAAAAATATACTGCATTGTATTGCAATAACAAAGTAGAAAAATATAGTTTTACTTAAATAAATCCAACTTATTTGATTCTTAGTTACATCGATTGAATTATCATCTAATAGTAATGCTATAATTTTGAACTGATGTCACTAATGAGAAAGAAAAACTTCGTTTAGGTTAAAATGCTGAAAGTTAATGAACCATCCATCAAGACATATTTTTTGTGAGGAAAACAACAACAAGCTTTTAAATTTGGATATGAAAAAAAGTTCATTTACTAAAACTATTTCATTTTCTATATATATATATTATATAGACTATTCTTATTAGGAATAGGTCTCCTAATAGAGATGAATTCAATTACTCGGAAATTACTTTTAATCATTCAGATAGTTTTCACGATAATTGAATGATTTGTGCATCATAACATTTAGAAGACATTTCTTTACTCAATAATCTTAAAAAAGTTTCTTAAACAGTTGCTTGAAAAAAATTATTAAACTCCATTGCAGTATAATACAACTGTTCCGATTGACTGAAATGATAGAAATTTCTTACTGTAATTTATACTAAAGAAAAAAACTTCTTGCCATTTGCATCAATGAGAAAAAAAATAGATGTTTTTCATTCTGATATGAAACAAGAACAAAGTTTGTCAGTTCGTATGAATGACATTAATAGTCTACTCTCTGAAATGTAATTGGGGAAACCGAAGAGTTGTCACAATTAGAACACATGAAATAAATAGTTAATGTCTCTCCCTTAAGTAACTACAAAAAGATTTTCTTGATTATTGTCCACAAAATCTCAACTCTTTAATGTAGTCATTGAAGTAACAAAAGAACATTTTCTTTTAGATTAGTCGATAAATAATAAGAGACTTATTTAATTAATTAGAAAGAAAGATTTTTCGTACGTGCTATTAATAGGATGCGAACTTACTTTCATCATGCTACATAGGGCATGCTTGGTGATGCTAGAAATATATTGTGATTGTCTACATAGTAGTGAAAGGAAAGGATAAAAATTTTATTTTTTTGATGTAAATACTATCTTCAGTTCAAATGACAGTGACAAAATATTCAATGCATGTTTTATACACTTCATTAGAATCAAAACATCAAAATAGTCTAAGATATATTGTCTTCATAAATACTCATTCTAAATAACATTAATAGAAAAAGAAAAATATAGAATGAGAAAGAACATCAACTCATTCAACAACTCTTAAAAAACCTGTTATTTCAAATGATAGTCATAGACAATGGAAGCATTAAGTGAGACTCATGCATACTTAGAATTTAATTGTAAAAAACATTTTTCATTTAAATACTTATTCGACTACAAATTATTTCTATCATGGTTAACTCAAATGAAATTATTTTTCTACAATAGTTCCATGTACTATTCATAGATAAACATAGTCTATATGTGTGAGAACCAGTTTCGGTTTGATCGCTAATCTTTCTACGTACATCATTGATATAAATCAAATTTATGACCGAAAGAGAAAACATATGACATTCTAAGTACAGCCTAATCAGAAGTAAATATCTGACATGAGAAATGAAATCGTTGCAACCACTTCGATGTTAATACATCAGTTGCATTAAGTGTTAGAATGTATGAAGTACATAACTAGAATATTCATAGAACCGAGAAACTATGATTTTATAGCTAATATTTCGTAAGAATTGTTCACAATAAGTACTTCAGAGTAGTATCATTCAAAATTATTTCCGTTATGTAGCATGTCATTTAAAATTAGACTACTATTAACATATTGAATACAAGAAGAAGTTTATTTTCTTGACGATTCTAAATTGAAAACACTATAAGAAAAAAACATATATTGTTGCTGCCTTAACTATTCGACCAGTAAAGAAGTTTACTTTATTTTGTAAAAAAAATCCCATATGAATTCATTGATTGATTTGACTTTTAGTGACAATACGATCGCACCATCTCATTTTTCGTCCTTCGAAAATTATTTACCAACTTCTTTTTTTTGCAAATTACTGTGCGCTTGTTCTAAATTGAAGCTTTTTTTTATCATGAGTGTTTCAATAGAACAAAGTGAGCTTTACATAATGACTACTTTCTGTTGTAGCTTTTCATTGTGTATGTGTTTAAAAGGAATGTTGCTGTTTTATGTATACCGGAAATTTTCAAGAACAAAACGAGAAACGACGTTATTTTCTAGTGTAATGAATAGCTAATTTATTGTTTAATATAGCATTAAGAAGAGCTCTAGAAAGTGTATGATATATTCTATTAAAATAGAGATTTCATGTTGGAAAATTATGTTTGTTATCTCCAAAGTATAGATCAATTACAGATAGACCTTCTTATAGGATTTCATGCACACATTGAATGATTTATTCAAAAATTGTTTTAGAAGCGTTGACAACTAGGAAGTCGCTTCCTTACAAAACTGTTACATTTCAAATCAAAAACGACTTTATCACTTACGTTATGTGGCTCTGTTACGTCATGAATAATATGTATACAAAGTTTACCGTATTTTCAACACCAGACTGAATATTTATCTCAGCAAACAAAGATGTAGTGGATGAAACTTAAAATAAATCATTATTTTAAATTTTATCCTCTATCTAAATACATGTGACACGCA